TACAGCAGCTGGAGAAGGATGTCTACAGGCTGCTGAACACGGCCCTGGGCATCGTCCATCTCTCCACTCACAGCTCGCTCTTCTGCCCCTTGTCACTCAACAGCAGCCTCGGCCTCAAGCCCAAGCCTCCTGTTACCTTTCCCTATCTAAACTATGATGTAGGTACCCTAGACTAGAAGGTTTCAGCCTCGTTTGTGGGGTTTGCTCCTCTCAAAGTTGTCAGTTGAACCGGCTAACAGCACGCTTGTTCATCCAAAACCTGAAATAATGGTTCAGGCTGCTGTGAGCTGTGTGCTTAAGGAGGTTGTGTTTGCATTAACTAAGACAGAGGGGCAGTTATTTAAGGAAGAGATGGATTTAACAGCCCTGCTGTCCCCGTAGGCAGCGCTCGACTACCACAGCAGCGCGGTGCTGGCGGCTGCCCTGGACACCGTCACCGTTCCCTACCGCCTCTCCGGCTCCCCGTGCTCCATGCTGCACCTCGCCGAGGCGCTCGGCTTCTCCGGGCGCAAGGTAGGGCCGAGGGGAAGGGCCGGCCCCATCCCACGGCTCCAGGGAGCAGCCGGGGTTGCAATTCCGGCCGTGACTCCCCGCGTGGCTGCAGGTGGCGGCTGCGCTGGCGGCTGTGCCCCTTCCCGTTGTACACGGCCACTCGCTCCGGGACACTCTGCGCACCCAGCAGCAGGGCCTGCCCTGGAAACTCCTGTCGTCAGGCGGAGAGCAACAGGTCAGCCGCTGTTTTGCTCAGTCTGTTGTGCTAAGAGGAATTTGCAAAGAAAAGCCTAGCAGGTAATCAGCCTTTGAACTCTACTTTCCCTTCGGAGCTCTGGCTCTTCTGACAATAATCATTTTTTACATTTCTTAACAATCATTTTTGAAGTCAGGTGAGTATTTTTTTTTTTAAAGATTTTACATGCTCCCAGTTTTACAGCAAAACAGCCCAAGAGCCGAGTTACCAGCATCCTCCTCCTCATGCAGCTCCTGCTTCTCTTTGCAGCAGCTTCCCAGGAAAGCGGCCCCATTCCGCACTCCAGGCGTATGAGAGCGAGGAGGAGATTCTGCAGCGTTACCTACAAACGTTGTTTCCTGGCGCGTTCAGGTTGCTAACAATATATAATTTTTTTTTTTTGCAACTTTACAGCTGCAGAAGATGCAATAATCTAAATTCCCCTCTGTGTCTTCCTTGCAGCACATCTCACGTGCTTGAGCAGCCCTGTCCTACCTTACCTCCCTACCCGCAGTTCTTTTCCCCTCTCCTCACCAAACAAGGCCTCCTTTTGGACAAACCCCTCGGCTCCTCCTCGCCAGGTACCGTGCTGCTCTCCGGGCACGGCGGCCCACGGAGCCGCTCCGGGAGGGTCTGACGAGGGTTTCTCCCGCAGCCGTGCGGAGCGTCCCGGTGGCGGCGGCGCTGCAGTCGGGGCCCGTCCTGCACGCGCTGCTGCGGGGGCTGCACCGGGAGCTGCGGGCGCTGGACACGCGGCGCTGGGCCGGCTTCTTCGCCGCGGGGCTCGAGGAGGAGGATTTTCGGGAGGCCCTGCACGCGCTCCGAGCCCTGGCAGACTGCTATAAAACACATCTGGAGGCCGATGAATCTGAAGATGAAACAGATTCGGACTAACTCATCTTTATTACTGGAGTGAGGGGGAGCAAGATGGAACTGCCTTTTGGAATAAAGGGAATGGTCTCGAAGAGGGGGCCCGCTGCTACTTTCATTTCAACAAAATCCTACTAAAAGAGTGGCTCAAGTCAGCCAGGTAGTTGTAGCTGTTATAAAGGAAGAAAGCTTCTCCTCAAAGATCTTCAAGTCTGTCTTAATGTTTTGTTTTTAACTTTGCAACAAACTGAACTTGCTTTACAGTGCTAGGAGACTGCACAATAAATACAGGTTTCAGGCTGCAACTTTTCCCCACACACAACATGAGAAATTTGCAAAAAACACTCACATATTGGCTCCACCTGAAAACAGACATCTTATTATACAATATTTACATGTTCTCCATTGCATGCACTGCAAAAGGCTGCTTGGTCAGGGTTCAAAGTCTCAATAATGTAACTCAAAATTCCCCAGAGAGCATATTAATCCTCACAACTTTCTTCAATCTAGTTGCAAACAGATGTAGAACTGCAGCTTGCCACGAGTGTTTCAGGAAAGAGAAGCAGAAAAGGTGCTGTATGAAGTACCTGTGCAAATACTTTTCCCTTAACCACAGCACCTGCCTAGCAGCAAACTGGCCAACAGTTTGGCTGATGGAGTCAGTAGCTTATGGCAGAAGGACCTTAGTCATCTGGCTCTTCCTCGGAGAGCAGGAGGTCTTTATCTGAGAGCTGGTCCGTGTTACTGGTGCTCGTGGCATCTTCCTCATCCTCAGAGCTGCCATCGCAGGACGTGTGGAACAGCTTCATGAGCTCTCGGAACCTGTGGGAGACCTGAGGACAGAGCAAGTCTGAGATGAGTGGTGGCCTAAAAGGTGTCACAAAAGGAAATTTGCGCAATATATATGCGCAATGTATATATATATATACACACACACACACATTTTTTTTAAGGTCAAGCACAGTGACTTTTGTTAAGTCTCCATCACAAGGAGAACGCAGGAGCCAGCGCTGTGCTGGACGCGGCCCAGGCCGGAGCTGCAGCCCTACCTCGCTGGCCGTCTTGTTGCCCAGTTTCTGCGAGATGGCGTGGAAGGTGTCCCCGTGGGCGCCCTTCTCCTGGCAGCTCGTGAGGATGACCCTGTCAGCCTCCCTGCAAGCAAAGCAGCGCTCATCAGAACAGGGAAAAGGCGACCCCAGCCCGGAGCGGCCCCGCTGCCTTGTCCCACTGCTGCTCCCAGCAGGCAGCTCTAGGCAGAGCTGCAGTTACTCTGCAATTTGTCCTTTCTGGAGGAAATAAAGGTGTTTCCTCCCCCGTTGGAGGTATTATGATGATTACTCTGCCAGCAGGAAGCTCTCTGCCACCCGAGGAAATGCCAAACACCGCACGAAGCCGCAGGGGAGCTCCACAAACCTGGTCCAGAGCACAACCTTCTCCCCCGTGGAGCTGACTTTGCTGTTCTTGGCACACACGGTGGCCTCGGTGACGCGCTGCTGCTGCTGCTCCTCCTCCCTGTGCCCCGAGGAGGCAGCCGGTGCTCCGTGCTCCGGCTCCTCGGAGCGCCCGCGGACCTGCCGCTCGTCCCTCGTGTCCGGCGCGGCTCTGCTCCCGGGAGAGGCTCCGGGACCCGCTCCCGACAGCGCGTTGGGAGCAGCAGGGCGCTGGGAGCAGCAGCTCTCGCCCGCGGCTGCTTTTCCACCCGGGGGGCCCCAGCTCTGCTGCGCGGAGCGTTTTCCTTGCTCGGCCGCTCTCCCGCCTGACCCAGGAGCGTGGCCGAAGACAGGAGGCTCCTCTGCGGAGCCCGAGTGAAGCCCTTCAGTCTGATCCAAACTGCGTGCAGGAGGTGAGCGAGGTCCTGTTGAAGCTCTTACTGCAGCGCAAGACGGCAGTGGGTCCCCCCTCAGCCCCAGGGATGCACTTGCATTTCCCTGATGCTGCTGGTTTAGCCCCTCGCCGTCCCTTGCTGCAGCGCAAGAGCTGTCTTTGGTTTCCTGAGGTAGTTTTAGGGTAGCTTTTCGTAGCTCTGTCCACCCAGGGCCAGTGGTGCAAGAAGGAAGCTCCTTGGCAGCATTCCCAGCACTGGCACCTCCTTCCCGAACGTGGTTATCGGACACCGCAGCTTTTCCAGGTGGGAGGCTGCAGGAGACGATCCTTCCTTCCAAGGGAGATCCTGCTAAGAAAACCAAACCAGTTTACACTAGCAGCTAGTGAGGAAGACTGGAGAGTCCTGCTTTGCCTTCCTCCCTACAAGCCAGGCTGGACAGGAACGATGCAGCTGGGAGACTTCCACACACCTGAGGCCGGAGGCTCCGCTCTCCGCGACACAGTTTTTGCCCGGCTCTGCACATCCTCTCCCTCCTCTCTGTTCTCCGGACTCTCTTCTACAACTTCCTTGGACATTCCGGAACTCTTCCCTTCGGGCTGCAGACTTGACTCTTGCTGGGCGAGGCTAACAGGCAGCTCTTGAGAATCTTTGTTTTTGTAAAATTTGCCATCGCAGACCTGCAAATCAAAATACAGGCAAACAGTGACAGACGTGGTGCCTCTGTCCAGACGTTACACCTCAGCCTTTGCAGCAAAGGTATCCCTGGACCCTAACCAATACTTCAATTTGCCAATTTACTTGTGTTTATGGGACTGTTTTTTTTTGCAATCAACAGGCACAATTCCTTTTGTACAGTGGCCACATGAAAAACATTATTCCTAACTCAAAGGAGTAACAAAATTAATACTACTTAGCAGAGAAAGGAGGGAGAACAGAAAGCGAGAGGGAAAGGGAGGAGGAAGGCCAGGTAAAGCGGTCCAAGCTTCAAAGAGGGAGACGCCTTTGGCAGCACCTGCGTTGCCTTTTGATACATTTTCCTCCCCAACACGTGGTGGTTTGAGGACAGGAGGCCCAAGGCTGCACAGATCATCCCAACAGTGGGACTCCGCGGCACGACTCACCAGGCCACCGACGTCACCTCCCCGCTCACCTTACTGCTGCAGTGGCCGCAGCTCCTCCTCTTGCTCTTCTTGAGCTTGAGCTCGCTGCTCCCTTCGTGGCAGGAACACGAACAGTCCTTCATCCCATCTACCCACTCGACCTCCTGCGAACAGACACACTCCAGCTGCCACCTGTGCACCCAGGGGACACTCACTGCCACACGGCACTCGGGCGCCCAGCCACAACTACAGCAACTGGGCTGCTTGCAAGCAAAGCACAGCTGAAACGTTTTAATCCCTTTCTTCAAATCCTCTCAGACTGTTCTCATGTCTCTCTGCACATACACATTTATCCTCCCAGATAGGAATTTGGAGTCCTCACATGCGGACTAGTGAGATATCCCAGGCCCACCTTGTCAGTGTTCTGGCCTCCAATCTCTTTCCTCTTCTTATTTTTTGGGGCCGCATGCATCTTGGGTGGCTCCTCCTCCTCTTCCACATCTGGCAGAGACACTTCTTCAAACCCATCAAACTGAAAAAAAACAAACAGACTTTTTATGAGGATGGCTCTTCAGGAGGCATCCGAAAATCTGCGGGGAGAATGAGGTGCAGGTCCAGGGCACCACGAGTCCCATCTCGGGAGAATAAATGTAAAAAAAAAAAAAAAAAAGAGACATCTGCCCCAGCCCACACGCAGCCATCCCATCCTGCTGCTTTCCTCACTCTAGAAATGCAGCCTCCCCACAAATCCTCTAAATTCAACTATTTCTAGCATCCCTGCTCTGCTCTTTCCTGCTGTGGGGAAGAGATTGCTCCACCTCATACTCCTTCTCTTCTGTCCAGTTGATCTCCTCAAAGTCTCCCATGCGGCTGGCTGAGGGGCGCAAGTGATCGAAGAAAACGGAGAACTCGTCCTGCAAGTGGTCGTGTCCTTTCAGCAGCTGCCACATCTGGGTCTTCAGCTGAAAGAGGGGGAAAAATAAATAAAATAAAATACCAGTGTTTCATTGCACGCTGTCATACTCTTTTAGGGAGGATTACTCAAGGCAAACGGAACACCAAGGCTTATTACAACTCCCATGTGGAAGTGCATTGCTACCATTTCACAGCTGTTTTGAGATCCATCAATTTCCTTAGCAGAAGCTGGAATGTCAGGCGATAAAAGCAGACGAAAGCAGGAAAAAAACAGAGATGCACAAAGGCCAGATAACTGCGGAGCCTCGGGAAGAGGCAGCTCCAAGGAGCCCCGGGGGAAGCGCTCGGTACCTCTGCGATCTCCTGGGGGACGCAGTCCGCGCAGCTCTGCAGCACCTTGATGATCTTCTGGTGGTGGGCAGGGTTCTCCGCGAAGCAGATCTCCAGCTGCCTGAGGAACTTGCGGCTTTTCTCAAAGGCTTGCTGCTCCTCGAACTGACCAAGAGAAAACAGTCACATGGCAACTCCAAGAACGCATTTACCAGCATCTCTAGTTAACTTAAGCTGTGTAAAAAAGTATTACTTATTATTCAATTTTAAGTACTAAAACAGGAGAGTAAGCAAACGATTTACCACCTTTCTCCTTGCCCTTCCCCTCTCACAGCATTGACATTTGTCTGCTTCAGTGCTGGGTCCTCCTTCCCTTCCACTTACCAGGCCACATTCCAGCGCTTGTTCTGGCAAAAGAAAGGCAGCAAAATCTGTGAGCAACTGTGGCCACTCGTGCAACAGTTTCTGCAAAGTGGAATAGAGGTCCACGGCTGTTCGCTTGTCAGTGCTGATCTCAAACTCATAGATAACGCGAAGGAAGTCCTCGTACTTCCCAGGAACGTTCTGCAAGGCTTCCCGCACCTGCAAGGAGCGACGGGCTTTTATAAGACTAGAATATTCCAGAATATTATAATATTTGTGAAATTAAGGAGGGCCTCGGTAGCTCCGTGGCTGCGCTCGGGCTGCGCCGAGGAGCTCCTGTCCCCAGGCTCACCCTGCTCAGATAGGCCTGTGCAAACGCCAGGTCCTTCTGCTCCCGCAGCGGATCCCGCTCCAGGATGTCCTCGTCGTACAGGAGCAGCAGCTTGGAGGTGTCTTTGCTAGCACGGGTCCTCCCCCTCTTATTCCTGGTCCTGTGGGAGTTCCTGCTCTTCCCAGGGGCTTTCAGGTTCTCTCCTGTGAAGCACAACACGGGTTGCACAGGAATATTGCACTGTGCTGACAAGCAACTACTTTTCTAGGATTAAATTACAATAGGAAATTAGGGTTTCAGAGTTAGTGACGAGTTAACTGTTTATACCCTCTTGTACATATATAAAATACCTGATTAGTCAGGCTGACTAATGAAATCTAATTAGCTGTTTATTATTGCAGCAGCTGATGAGAGCCTCAGGGTTAGCTGACACAAAGCACTGATCTCATCTGTGCAGCTCCAAACTTTCCAAGGGTAAATGCATCACAACGGAGCAAGGATACTCTGTTCACACCCACAAAGGCCACCACGCCAAAAACCACTTTTACAGAACTGAAATCGTGTTGCACAGTTGTTCTTTTCCAGGTGCAGAGCATCACTAAGCTCAGACATGCTCAGCGAAATCAAACCTGGACGCAGTTCCTGCTCGGTCTGGATCCGAGGAGGGTATCGGCTCTGTGTCCCCTTCAAGACAAAAGCAGCACAAGGAACCTACCTGGGGGCGTTCTGCTGGCCTCGACCTGCGGGGCTGCCTTGGCCAACAGGAAGGCAGATTTGGGTTCCTCTGAGGGGTCTCCAGAGGTTTCATCATCTTTCTGTGAATTCTCCATTCCTTCCCCTTCCTCCTCCTCTTCCTCCTCTGGCTCAGAGTTCTCCTCCTGAGAATTCTCCTCTTCGGAATCTCCTTCCTGGCTTAAACGTCTCTCTGTTGCCAGCCAAGTGAGTTTTTCCATTGTCTCCTTAAAAAGCGAAAGCAACAACAACCACCACCACGTTTTTAGTGTTTCTTTTATTGTCTTTCAACAACTGTTTCAGAGAACAATTCTCAACTGGGGAAGCCCCTAGCAGAATTTAGGTCTGATATTTGCAAAATATTCCTTAACTTGGGCTTCTAAGAAGAAAAAGTAACTGGCTATATATACATATATATATAGAGAGAGCCAGTTACTTTTATATATATATATAAAAGTAAGGTTGTGATTGTTTTTACCTGAAGTTCTGGCACCGACAGAATAGACTCTTCCGAGGCTGATGACATCTCCTCATCCTCATCTTGTGTAAAATCGTCGAAGTCCTCCTCCTCCTCCTCCTCCGGTCCTTCCTTATCCCCCGCAGCCTCCGGGCCCGCTGGCGTTCCGACGGACTGCCCGTCCATGCTGGAGGAATCCTCCGGTTTTCCCAGCGGGCTGCTGAATTCTGCCTCGACATCCGTCGCGTACGAAGGGTTCCTGGGAGACTCGCTGCTCCCCTGGGCTCCAGCGACAGCTCCCGCATCCACGTGCGGTTCGTCGTGGCGGGGGGACTGCAGATCCCGTCTTTCCTCCTCTCCTTTCTCTTCACCCGAGGTTCCCTCTTTCTTTACTTCTTTCAGCTCGCTGGGACACGAACAGGCAGCCTCCACATTCAGCTCCTGGCCCAGATCC